TAAATGAGTCATGGGTATGAAATGTACAGTGTAGCGAATATAGTCAACAACTATATAATATCTTTGTATGGTGACACTGTAACTAGATTTATCATGGTTATCATTTTGAAATGTATAGAAATACTGAATCACTATGTTGTGTAACAGTAACTAACATAGTGTTGTAGATTAATTATACTTCAAAAACAAACAGCAAACAAATTCATAGAAAAAGAGATCAGATTTGTGGTTACCAGAGGCAGGGGGAATTGGATGAAGGCAGTCAAAAGCTACAAACTTCCAGTTATAAGATAAATAAGTACTAGGGATATAAAGCACAACATGATAAATATAATTAACCCTGCTGTATGTTACCTATGAAAGCTGTTATGAGAATAATTTCTAAGAGTTATCATAAGAAAAAAACCCTTTTTTCTATTTCTTTAATTTTGTATCTGTATAAAACAATAGATGTTCACTAAACTTATTGTGTATGTAAGTCATTATGCTGTATATTTCAGACTTACACAGTGCTGTATGTCAATTATAGCTCCACAAAACTGTAAGAAAAAATTGTACTGTGAGAAAACATCTCTAAAAAATATAATTTTTTGTAATTATGTATTCATGAATTTGCTAATCTACTATAGGATGCTGCAATTATGACAGTTCTCAACTGCATGCTTCCTAGTTTTCACTGGAAAATAAATGTTAATAAAGGTTAAAATTTATAATCAATATATAAAAAAATACTAGAAACAAGAAAGAAAGAAAACAACTTTGTATACAAAGTATGAGAGGAAAATGGGATGTATTTTTAGAAGAAGAGCATGCAAAGAATATAGGTTGTATTTTTGTTATGGAAAAAAGAAAGTAATTTTGTACAGTAATTTTGTAAAGTAAAATTACTGTTCATTCCAGAATGAGAAAGAGAAAAGGAATAACACAAACTCTAAATGGATATAGAAAGTGCTTGTTTAGAAATTTTATGTTGGAAGGTCAAAGTTAGCTAAAATTATTTATAAGGGTTTTAAAAAATGAGCTCAATAATAAACTGAAACAAACTAGAACGTTTTTACCCTCTGTGTTAAAAGCACAAAGTTTAAATTATTGGTCTGCTCTTAATAAGATAGAGTAAGTCCCCTACATATGAACCCTCAAGTTGCGAACTTTCAAAGATGCGAACGTGCATTCGCATGTCCAATCACGTAAGTTAGTTCACGTGTCTGGCATACATAGTCACATGTGTGCATCCTCTACAAGGGTTGTGTTTTTGCGTACTTCACTGTACAGTACTGTATAGAGTACAGTAGTACAGTATCTTTATTTCAAGCCCAGGATGTCCAGAAGTAAGCGTAAAAGCAGCAGTATACAGCCGATTGTGTTAGTTGGGTACCTAGGCTAACTTTGTTGGACTTATGAACAAATTGGACTTACAAACGCGTTCTCGGAACAGAACTTGTTTGTATGTAGGAGACTTACTGTATTATAAAAGGTTTTTCTTTACCTTTTGTGTAAACTGTCTAGGAACTAAAGATTCTGTGTCTTAGCAAAATAATTTCCTGTGCTTCATGTTACCTAACTACTTAGGAAAACTGAATCTTTACAACATTACAAGAGGTAAGGTTTTTTTGGTTTTGTTTTGTCTTTTACAACTATGTAACTTTCTGTATTTGCTTTTGAAATCTTTTAGTTGTCACTTTGGCTGAACAGGTAACTAAGTTTTGCTTCACAGTAAAGCATTTACAATCAACTACAGGCCAAAATGCTTTGTCTTTATGGAGATTCATGGAAAGGACCCTGACAAGTACTCTGGAATACAGGTTTCTGATAACTTTAAGCTCATACCACTAAACTGAGTAAGAATTTCTAGAACTCTAATGGAGAAACTGCTTAATTCATAAAACTGCTAACCCAAGATCAAGCAAAATGATTAATTACATGGGACCAAATGAACTGATGAAAATAATTATAACTTTTATGACTTTGTTTGAAACACTGTCAGTTCTTCAATGCTTGTTTTCCAGATTTAAAGAACCCTTTTTTTCCTCTCCTTCTAAGCTATCTAAACTTAAAACAATTTGGTAAAGTATACTTTTAAAAGCAAAAATGAAACATTTACTTTTTCTCCTTACCTGATCCCTTCAGAATTAAAACAAACAAATTAAAAAAAAAAAACAACCTTTACTAAGTATTCTTATTTTCATGGCAATATAGATGTTTGCGTAAATTCAATAAGAATCTGTTCTCTTTGTAACAGGACACAACTGGACAAGTCCTTGGCTTGCCTTCTTAGTATAAAGAGGCTTTTAAAGATCTAACCTGAGTTTACTTATTAAGACAGTTTTAAGGATCTAAAGTTGACTTTATGGAGCCAATAAAGCCCCTTGGATATTACCAAAGCTTTGACTGGAGTATCGTATTTGAGAATGTGCATAAAATCACTGTTCTTGCTGCACTTATGTAAATAACAAGCCAAGTTTAAAAAGACTAGGCTTATTTTACCAACAAATTATTTATGATTATCTTTGGTAAAAATGAGGTGACTACAGAGAGAAAAATTATGTTTAAACAGAAAACTTTGGCATATTCATAATCAAATTCGAGTCCTGTTTATTGTCTTTGAGGTTTTGTATCTAACTGTAAACTGGACTGGGTCCTGAACTCTTCTAGTTTTCTCCAGTATCTGGCTATGACTCTCCAAACTAATATTTTCAATTTTCTCCTACCCTTCTGACTTGAAATAAAAACTAAAACTGTCCTTTTCCTCAAACCCTACAAGCTAAAACTATCAGTCTTGATACAGACTTCAGAGAAGTCACAACAGATCATGTATAGACAAGACAACCTTCATACCTACTTCTATGCAGGCCACTCAGAGCTCAGCAGAACACCTGATGACATCATCAAAGACATTCAAACTGCAAACCAGGAAAATCTATCAGTTGGAAACTGCCACCTTCATTCCACCTTCATCTAAAAATCCGAGCTCAATTCCAAAAATTTTCTCGACGGGCTGCTCTCTAGACTCAACAACTACATTTATAATTTGTTCCAACTAATCTTTAATCTTTGCCCTTTTTTGTTTCCATAGAAATGCTTCTTATTGAATACTTGATTGCTCACACCATATAGATGCCTACTTAGATGGAAGCTTACCTATAGCACCGCCTCCTAAAATAGGACATCCTCATGTTTATCCCATTCTAAGTAATCATGACATAGTTCAGTACTATAAGGCACTAATGCAATATTGAAAGGCTTATTTCCACAGGTCCATAAAGCTTTCTGTGATCTGCTTCCAAAGAAGACAATGTGCCCCATATATTAGAACCCAGAGATTCAGTTTATTGGAAAAGACACCAACAAAAGACTGCACTTAAACTTCATTGGGAGAGACCTTATCCTCTGCAAAATCTCTACAGTTACAGCAAGAATTTGTAAATTCTTTAGCCAGAGTTATTTTAGACAACTGCATAGCCTTAGACACCCTAACCACCCAAGACAGAAGTGCATGTACTGTAACTGGTAAACAAAAATGTTGTTTCTATGTTAATATATCAAAAAGATCTTAAAGATCTTTAATCAAATAGGCAACGCTTCTTCCCTTGATTATTTAGTTGGTTAAATCATGGCTCCTGGGACTCTCTGCTCTGGAGAATCTTTCAATCCTTGACTACTATTCCCCTCATAGTCATTATATTAACCTCCCTAGTGCCTTGTATCCTCTCAAGAGTTTAAATGTCTTTCAGCGACTACTCACACATCAAATGTTATCCATCAGGATTAGACAACTGGAAGAACTCAATGATCCCACTGACCGTATTCAGGGTGACTATATAACTGCCGGTAACAGCAACTACATGACCATCCATGCCAAGGACTACATCTAAGGGGTAGTGGGAGTAACACCATATTGGTTCACACTCTCAGCTTGTCGAGAGAAAGACCAAAAGTCGGAGACTTTTATAATAAAATAAATGGAGACCAGGCTTGAAAATCCCCCAAGCTGACCAAGGCAGTTAGACCACATAAGCGAAACCAAATCTAGTTTATATCATGAACATAAGTGACACTTAACAGGTTATTCCTTGTAAATGCCTCTAATAATCAACGTAAATTGTCTTCTTAAAATAGCGTAAGATAATCACTTTTAACCAATCCCCTGCTGTCTGTAAACTTCCAACGTAATAACCATTGTAAAGGTTAAACAACTTCCTCGCGCTCACTTTATAAGCCATCCTGTAACTACATGCCTCTGTGCTTCTGGTTTCTCCCTCAATAAAATATTCATATCAAGTAAAAAAATTTATTTTAATTAATTAATCCTTTTAATTAGGAGGTTAATCCTTTTAATACTAGGTGTTAATCTAGCTGTTAAGTAATAAGGAGGTTAATCCTTTTAATACTAGGTAGCCTTCTAAGGATTTAAATATGTTAAGTTTATTGCTCACTACAACGCCATGAGATAGGTACTATTATACTAATTTTGTAGATCAAGAACTAGGGCCCAGAGAGGTGAAATTACTCTCCTATAGTCACACAACTGGAGAATAACAGCAAAACCGGAGCTGAACCCAGCAAGCACAATCAAGGATTTGAGCGCTGTGTCAAAGAATCAATATTAATCCCTGTTACAGTAACTGGGTGGAACTTTGCTGAAGGCTTTTGAGAGCCCCATCCAGTGTTTTGTTTTTTGTTTTGTTTTACCAAGGCTTTCAGCTCCCGTCAGAGACAGGCCGCTGCCAGGAACCGCCCGGGCGTGGAGCTGTCAAGGCTGACTGATAGGACATCTATCGGGGGCCAGAGGGGCAAGCCTGCCGGGCAGCCCTCTGGTACGACGGTCCTCAGCGAGGAGAAGACAAAACCAGCGGCCCAGGTCTAGAAACACCCGCGGGGCCTCCTCGGTGGGAGGCAAGAAGGGGGCGGGGAAGGGAAGCCGCGCGGGGCGGCGGGCGCGGGAGGCGGGCGCGGGCGGCGCCGGGGCGGGGCGACAGGGAGGCGGGCCGGGGCGGACTCACAGATCCAGGAGCTGACTGACCCGCTGCTGGCTCGGCATCGCGGCCGCCCTCGGAAGCCTCTTCCGCGGTCCCGGGGCCGTCGAAATCCAGCCAGAGACCGTCTGTCAACTCCGGCCCCGACAAGACGCGCAGGCCCTTGTGACGTCGCCCGCCTCTTCCGGTGACCAGGCGCGGGCGCGCTGGCGACTGCCGAGCCCCTTTGGGGCGGAGCCCGGCGCCGTGCGCCGGAGCGGCGGCGGGATAAAATGGAAAGGAACCTTACTCTCAGAGAAGCGCTGCGGCAGTTGTCGTTCTGCAGACCTGCGGCCGGGCTCCGGCGCTTTCCCGAGTCGGCCAGCCCCGCGCGCGACCTAGCCCGGTACCCCTGGAGCCGCGCGTGGCTGCGAGGTCGCTGCTCTTACTACAGGGGTGCGTTTGATGCTGGGCCGAGCATCTGGCGATGCACACCAGGGACCCCCTTGGATACAGACTCCGTGACCGTCAAACAGAGAGTTTTAGCGGATCCGAGAGTGACTGCCGTTTACCGAGCACTTTCTGTAAGAAAGCACGCACTGAGCTGAGTGCTTTCAGTAATTAACCATATTTTTTTTAATCCTGTGAAGTCGGAATTATTTAGCTTATTTTACAGATGAGGACATTACGTGCCTACAAAAAAGCTCAGTAAGCATTTCATCACGGAGACAGGGGCTTGTGTTTAAATCAGAAGGGTTTCTAAAGAGGAGGGACCTTTCCCCAGGTGGAATTGTCTCTCCTTGGTTATGCTGCAGAGTACTTGCTACTTTTTGGTGCTTTTTCATTCTTCCTTGTAGATTAACTTGTTGTTTATATGTCTTCCTTTTGTAAGCTTTTGAAAGTTGGAACCCAGTCTTGTTCATCTCTTCAGGATGCTGCTTATTCAATCAGCACGCATTTACCAAGCACTGAAGGAGGGCAGGGATTGTGCTGGGTGCTGAGGCTTCAGTGGTGAACCCTTGAACCAGACAAGTAAAAAGACAATCAGAACAACTGTTAAATACTAAGATGGAGTTAGTTCTACCGGAACACCCATGGAAGGGTGGGGGGAGCAGGTTGAGAGAAAAACGTGGCCAGTTAGGGACTGCAAATAGTTCAGGATGGCTACAGTGGAGAGTGGTGAGGTGCATGTAGAGGAGGGAACAGGCAAACTTCTTCTATAAGGGGGCAGAAAATAAATATTTTAGGTTTTGTGGGACATCCCTTGTTGCTGAACCGAACTGGGCTCCGCGTGTCCTACCTGAAGCCAAGCTGATCTACTGACAACTGGGTTGTGGTGAGGGAAAGTACAGGGCGCCGAGCAAGATGAACAGGCAGCTGGTGATCAAAAGACCGGAACTCACCTGATGGCTTTCAGGCAAGAGTTTTTAAAGGCAACACTACAGGTGAGGGTGGCAGGGTGCATAATCAGCTCATGGACATTTTTCTGATTGGTTGGTAGTGAGGTAACAGGGTGATGTTTGGGGAATATTAATTATCATCCTTTGGTTCCATCCAGTCTGGGGGTCTGTGTGCCTGTGGTCAGCGTGTGTTCAACATCCTCTACCTGGTTGGGGATCTTAGTTTCTGCAGAACAACTCAAAGATATGCATCAGATTGTTATCTATATCCCTTCAGGAGAGCTAGGAGTTCTGTGGCTATTGTTCTAATCGTTAACTGCTTGAGTCTGCTCTGGAACTCATGGAAGGCCAAGCAAGAAGCAGGGGATACGAGAAGTTTGTACCCAGGAAGGCCTCACAGGGTCCTGCTTTGTTTCAGTCCCACTTTTCTTTCATACTCCTCAATCGTGAGGGGAACAGGGGCGGGACAAGAAAGGGAATAAGTTTTGGACAAGAGAGGTTAATCATAAACTTGGCAGGGAAACTCGGTTTTAGGAGGACTGGGTTTCATCCTTGACCTTAGGAGGTCACAGCTACTCACCTTGTAGCTCAAAAGCAGCCATAGACCATATGAATGGCAGGGGTGGGGGAGGTGTGTTCCAATAAAACTTTATGGATGCTGAGGTTTGAATTTCATGTAGTTGTCAGTGTTATGAAATATCATTCATCTTCTGATTTTTTTCAACCATTTAAAAATGTAAAAACCTTACATTGAAAACTGTACAAAAACAGGCAGCGGCCTGGGTTGGATGGCTGTGGTGGCTTGCCTTCTGATCTAGAAAGCTAAAATGGGGGCATGATGGCCTGTGTTACGTTAAACAGTTTAGGCTTTGTCTGAAGTACTTTGTGCAGAGTCATAGATAGGTTTTAAGCAAGGACAGTACATGCATAGGAAGGATGAGTTTTTGAAAGAACTCTAGCTGTTAAGTAGTAAACGAATTGTAGCGGTCACAGATGGAGACTTGGAGACTAGAAAGGTGTCTTTTGTTAATAGCCTAAACTAAAGTAATAGCAGCAGACTGGATAGACAGATTCAACAGGTAATGGAAATAGAGCCAATAGGATTTAGAGATTGGTTGGAGTGGGGGGAAAAGAGAAGAGTCAAGGCTAATTTCTAGGCTTTGGGTTTGGAGAATTGGGTGACATATGGTGATGCCATTTTAATGAGCTGAGAGGATTACAGGGGTTTTTTGAAAACAAGGGGAGATTAAATTTTGGACATATGAATTTTGCAGTGTCTATGGAAGATATAGCCTTGGGGCTATAGGTCTGGAAATTATGCCGTCTTGCTTTTAAAGGTGAGATTGAATAGCAGCAATAGTACATGTATTTACTTATGAATTCAGTACTTTGGGGGAAGAATCGTCTGCTGCTCTGGGAGTCATTTGGACCTTGGAAGACCTTGACAGATCAGATAAGGGTAGACTTCATTGTCCCTATCTGTTTGTTGAGTGCTGCCCAGCTTGAATGCTACACAGCTATCCATCTAGTTCTTCCTGCTGATTACCTGATTCTTCAACAGCAGAAAAGTGTAGGTCACTGCCCCAGTATTACGAGGTGTTAAACTTTGGGTGCCTGCGTTCTTCTAGATAGTCAAAAGAAAATGTCACAGCTGCTTTTTTATGTTTTTCTCTTTCTTTTTTTTTTTTGGTGGTACATGGGCCTCTCACTGTTGTGGCCTCCCCTGTTGCGGAGCACAGGCTCCGGACGCGCAGGCTCAGCGGCCATGGCTCACGGGCCCAGCCGCTCCACGGCATGTGGGATCTTCCCGGACCAGGGCACGAACCCGTGTCCCCTGCATCGGCAGGCGGACTCCCAACCACTGCGCCACCAGGGAAGCCCCTTGTTTTTTTCTTTTTAAGAAAATGTCAATTATATAAAAAGGTAAGATAACAAAGTCCTAGTTATTTCTAGCCAATTATTTTAAAGGTCAAAGATTTGTAAACCCTCATGATACCACAATTCTTAGAAGTGTTTTTACAATGATTTCCTGCAGATTTTAGGGCCTACAATTTACAAACTAGCCTCTCAGTTACTTAGCATAACTGTGTCAAGAATTTGAGTTTCTTGCCACTGAATAATATAGGTCTGATGTATGTTGTGTTTGCCCTAACGTACTCATCTCATTCCTACCTTATTTTTTGGCAGCACTGTGGTTTGGGGACTGACTTCATCTTCAGTGGTGGGTCCAGATTAAGGCTAATCAGTGATTATTATAGTAATTGATTCAAAGGTTAGCAGGCCTAGATTAATCAAGAAACTACAATATTCCCTCAGCCACCAAGATGGGTTCAAGAATGGGCACGTGGGCATGTGACTCATTCGTGGCCAATAAGAAGCAGGAAAAGTTTTTCTGGAGATTTCTGGGAAAGAAGTTTCCTCATATTTATTTGTATGATGCTTTGTGAAGCAACACTGTTCTCTCATCATTGTCATTTTGAATGAAGTTAAACAGGAAAACAGAGTAAGAGAATCACAGGAAGACAGCCGGAGACCTGATTGAACCATGCATAAACACCACCCCTCCTCTTTACTATCAGATGACAAAAATGAAACAAGGAGTTTGATATCCTTTATTCAAGGGGAAACAATTATGGATTGGGGGAATACAGTACTTCACAAACAGTGGAGCACTCTTCCTGAGGGATGTTTGGGCAACAGTGCATTTTACACAGTGTTTGAAGCAGCAATGAGGAAATGGCATGATTGATTGGCTAGGAGGTCAGGTATTTCCTTATAAGGCTAGCAGGTCAGTCAGGGAGTAAGGAAAGAGTATTTGGCTTAAGTTGATTGGCTGGGGTTGCATATCTGAAAACAAGGAAATCATCACAGTTTCTTGGCAGTTGGGGATTGGCTGGCTGGATACTGTGTTTCTGATCAAGCAGAGCATTTACAGGAACATGAAAATTATCTAAGTTTGGGTTTGTTGACATGCCATCCTGGACAGGAGCAGCCTCATGTTGGACCTAGAAATTTATTTCAACACTACTTTCTGTTATATAATTCAGTTAATCCCTTTTGTTGTTGATAAAATTGGTTGACTTGAGTTTTCTGCTTCTTGCTGCCTCAAACAGCCTAACAGATACATATTCATAGCAGGAGTCACCAACATATAGACAGAAATTGAAGGTATAGGAATAGATGAGCTCACTCAACAGCTGTATATAGAGTTGTATATAGAGAACAATCAGTCCTTGGAGAGATAGCTGAGGAATAGCAATTGGCTGGCAATTGACACTGAGAAGGAATAGCCAAAGAGGAAGGGAAGAAATAGGTACTACAGAAGATAAACATCACCAAAATTGTCACATGCTACAGAGAGGTCAACTAAGATAACACTTGAAGGTGATTTAGCAGCAAGGAGGTCACTGAGGGTCACTGAGGTGGTGGTGGAGGGTGTAGCCTGATTGTAATGAGAGGAATGAATGGGAGGTGAGGGAATGAATGTGTAAGTACAGTAAGACCCCTACATATGAATGAGTTCCATTCCGAGAGTGTGTTCGTAAGTCCAGTTCGTTTGTAAGTCCAACAGTTAGCCTAGGTACCCAACTAACACAATCGGCTATATAGTACTGCACTGTAATAGGTTTATAATATGTTTTGCACAAATAATACATAAAAAACAAACACAAAAAAATAAAACATTTTTAATCTTACCGTACGGTACCTTGAAAAATAGAGTAGTACCAGTTATATCACTGCTGCTTTTACTCTTGCTTCCAGACATCGTGGGCTTTAAATAAAGATACT